TGGTCCTAAAACGTGTACCTGGCCACAAAACGGACAATAGTACACCCGTTAGAAAAACAGCAGCAAATAAATAAAATAAAGACTATAAAAATAATCTAAAGCTGACGTTTTTTTGATGCAGGCCCAAGTAAAAAATGCCACAGGGCCTTCAGGTTGCGGTGACGTGACCTGGGGGCCCTATTCCAACCTCGGGTCCCGTGAGGGGCCCGTGTGTAGGCTTTCAGCATGTAACACGCCCCCCTCCTTATGAAGACGAGCTGGGGCGCGGGCGAAGCTGCCGATCCGATGGCGGAATGTAGCGAGGATGGCGAGGAGCTGGAGTGCTCGGCGTAGTCTTTCCTTTGCTAAGATAGCGTGAGAGAACGGCGGGGGCTGTGACCTGCAGTTCCGAACGCGTCAGCCAACGGTCAGCCTTGTGGCTGCAGTAGGAAAAGTGAAGTAGAAACTTTGTTTCTTTGTTGCCATGGCGCCGGTCGGTGATGATGTAGCCGGCCTCCTGAAATCCGTCCATGGAAGGACGGTCTTGCGTATGTCGACCGGGAAACTCATCGGACTCCGCTGAAACAAAAGGAGCGAGTTTGGAACAGTGGAACACCGTGTGGACGGGCAAGTGAGGTGGCACCGCGATGCGGAATGAAGGCCCCTCGGGATCATCACCAACTGCAGAGAGAATGTGCCAAGGCCCCATCCACTTGGGAAGGAGCTTGCAAGAGATGTCTTGCTCAAGGCTGAACTCCGCGGCGGAGATCCAAACCAGATCGCCGGCGCGGAACGGGCAAGGAAGGCGATTGTGGTTGGCTTGACGGCTCATCCGAATTTGCGTCTTCGACATTTGATCCCGTGCCTTGACAAGAAGCTCTCGCATGCGACGAAGGAACGCAAGATGGTCGTCGCTCTCGGCTGTGCGCAGCAAAGTGGCGTCCAGCGGCGATGAGATGGGTGAACCATGCTCAAACTCGAATGGCGTTATCCCGCTAGCCGGATGGATCGATGAGTTGTAAGCCAACTCAACGTCTGGCAAGCGCTCAACCCAATCAACCTGGTCGGGACGGATGAGAGTGCGTAGAAGGACTTGAGCGGTCTGATGCGCCCTTTCCGTTTGACCATCGGTTTGCGGTGGCGAGCCGAACTTGGCTTCAAAGATGAGCCCCATCGCTTGATGAGGGCGACCCAAAAGTCGGAGAGAAAGCAGGTGTCCCGGTCGCAAACGATCTCCTTGGGGTAGCCCTTGGAGCGAATCCAACCGGTGTATAAGACCTCGGCTAACTCCGGTGCCTTTGCGTGATAGCAGCAAGGCAAAAACATGGCGTACTTGGTGAGGCGGTCGACGACCGTGAGGATCCCATCAACGCCGGTCTTGTGCTTCGGGAAGGGGCCGGTGATATCCATAGCAATTGCTTCCCGTCGCCCAAGGGGCGCTGGTAGTGGGTGTAGCTCGCCGAACGGACAGTGGTTGCGTGACTTGCAACGCCGACAGACTTCGCACGACTCACAATAGCGGGTGGCGTCCTTAAGAAGGTCGGGCCAATGGAACCGCTGGCGAAGTCGGCCAAGTGTACGGTTGACACCAAAATGTCCGGAGGCGGGCACATCGTGAAACTCGCCAAGAAGCCATGTGCGCAAGTGTGAATCACTYGGCACRCAAAGAAGATCCTTRCCCCGTGAATGCACAAGCAAGTAGCCCTCTTGGATCCGATAATGCGAAGGCACCGGATTCGGAGAGGAGCAATTCGCGTACTTGTCGCGAAAGTGGGGGTCGGCTTGATAGCTGCGGATGAAGCTCTCCCGCAAGTCGTCGTCGATCTCGAAGGTAGAGTAGACTGCGGTGCAAAGATCCGGTCATCGTGAGAGGGCGTCCGCAAAACGGTTGGACTTCCCGGGAATGTGATCGGGGAAAAAGTCAAACTGGTCGATGAAAGCCATCCAACGGGCAATGGTACTGTTAATCGTGTCTTGCGACTTGTAGAATACCAATGGATTGTTATCCGTTACCCATCGGAATGCTTTCCGACCAAGGAGGAAATGTCGCCAACGCTTGAGGGCGTGGACGAAGGCAAAAAACTCCTTCTTCCGTGCGTCGTCGATCGAATGTACGGGAGGTACTTTCTTGCTAAAGTACTCGACCGGGTGCCAGTCCGTGCCATCGTGCTGCTCAAGGACGGCCCCAATAGCCCGACGCATCGGTAGTGACGCGCGTAGCTAGAAGCGGGTCGTARATATGTAACACCTCGGCGGATAAGAGTGCCACTTTGAGTGTTTCAAAAGAATGGCGCGCATCGTCGTTGAAGTCAAAAGGCCGCTCCTCGCTTTGTAACTTGCTTAGGTTGGCCGCGATCTTCGAGTAACTCTTGATGAAGCGCTGATAATAACCGGCCAAGCCGAGGAAGGATCGGACGTCCGTCACATTCTTTGGCCCGGGCCACTCCTGGATGGCTTGAATCTTGTCCGCCAACGGACGAATACCTTCCGAAGAGACAAAATGCCCCAAGTATTCAAGCTCTTGCTGGACAAACTCGCATTTGTCGCGGTTAGCTTTGTACCGGGCTGACTGAAGAGTCTCTAAAACACGGCGAAGGTGCTCGTCTATAGAGTTCGGCTATAGACGAGGATCTCGTCTAAGTAGACCAAGACGAAGCGGTCCAACATGGCGCGAAACTCGGTGGTCATGGCCGCCTGAAAACTGGCCGGGGCATTGGTGAGGCCAAAAGGCATAACTACCCACTCAAAATGCCCATATCGCGTCTTAAACGCGGTCTTGTACCGATCTTGCGGGCGGATGGAGATCTGATGATAGCCCGATTTGAGGTCTAACTTCGAAAAGTACTTGGCGCCGCCCAACCGCTCAAGCAAATCGTCAATGCGAGGTAGAGGCCCCGCGTTCTTGATGGTTTGCGCGTTGAGGCGTCGGTAGTCAATGCAAAGTTGAAGGTCCTTGTTCTTCTTCCGAACGAAGGGAACGGGCGTACCGTAAGGTGAGCTGCTAGGGCGGATCCAACCCTTGTCAAGTAGATCGTCGAGTTGCGCACGGAGAACCGTGAGCTCCTCCTCGGACATGCGATAAATGCATCCCTTTGGTGGCACGGCGCCGGCCTCAAGTATGATCTCGTGAGAGATCGGCCGGTCCGGCACTATACTGGAGGGTGTCTCAAAAACATCTGCGAACTCGTCTAACAACCGGGTCACACGGGGGTCGGAAGACACATCCGTGGACGATGAGTCGGTCGTCGGGACGGTTCGAAGAAAAGCGATGCCAATCTCTTCGACATGCTCGGAACGGCATGTGTCTCGAAAAGATTTGGCACTCACGACTTGGCACCGAATGGAAGAGCGAGGAGGAAGAATAGTACACGGGACCTCGGCGCCAGTTGCATCACGAATCGTGAGCGTGCGTCGATGGAAATTGACCGTGTGGTCCGCGCTAGAAAGCCAAGGCATCCCCAAAATGACATCGAAGTCGGTGTCCAACACGTCAAAAGTGACGGGTTCACATGCGTGTGGTGCAAAGTACACCGGGACAACCGAGATGTAACGGTCTAAAAGTTGTTTCGTCTTACCGTCGGCAAGAGCGACCGTCGTCGGATGTGACTTCCTCCGTACTTGTGCGCCAAGGCCAGCCCGAGTCATGAAGGACCGGCTGATGAAGTTGCGAGTTGCGCCGCAATCTAGCAAAGCGTTGCAGGCCGCTTGCCCAATCTGAATGCGAACGTAGAGCAACGGTGCGTTGTTTTCTTCGTATCGTTGCGAGACAAACTCGCGGGCCACCTTGGCAACATAGCCAAGCATGTCCCCCACCACGACTTCGTCTACCGTCGGCGAAGTTGGAGGTGCATGGAAGGAAAGATACTTGTGTAAGAGGGCGCATAGTGCTGCGCTTTGCGGCCCCGGAAGGTTGCCCGTCGTAGGGAGAGGAATCCAAGCGAAGTCCTYGGGCGTGAGCGGGTCCAAAACCTCCTCGTTGAACGCGCTTGCCGAATCCCTCGATGAAGACGAAGTGGTGGAGGAACCTCCGGACGATGAGAAAGCCGCACATGTATCTTGTCCTTGAGWAGCATCCAGTGAAGGAACGAGCCGGGCAGCGAAGTCTTCGAACGAAAGTTGAAGACTCCCGACATCCGCATATGCCTCGGAAGAAAGGGCAGTCGTGCGCACAACCGCTTTCGATGGCGTCGAGGGAGGTGTCGAGTCACCCTTAGCGGCGCCTACTTTCCCGAACGGGGTTTCCCCTTGGTGGGGCAATGTGCAGCATCGTGGATGGTGCTATTGCACCAAATGCAGTAACGGTACTTGAGTCTCGTGCGATAAGAATTCGCCGAGAGTCCGTATTGTGCCCAAGGTTCGTCGGCCGCTGATCCGGTGCTCGGTTTAGAGGTGGACTGAGTCTTCATCTTGTCGCGGCCGTGGTTGTTGCGCGGCCGGCCACCATCCCGGGCAGCTGCCAACACGTCACCCTCGTTTGGTGTTGCAGCCTCGGTAGAAGTACTGCAAGCCACCTTTGGCTTGGGCTGGGTGCTGCTCGTCGTCACGGAAGATCGGTCGGCGTTGCGGGCTTCTATATTCGTGAGAATGATCAGTGACGCTGTGCTGAAAAGCTTGTCAGATGTGTTGAGGGTCTCTGCAATCGGCGTGCGCGTTTTGCAGAGCTGGACACGAGCGCATGATAAACAAGTGCTTGATGGCGCGGAATGCGAGCGGCAGGTCAGGTGTGGAGGCGAGTCTTTGGAACTCGGTAATCCTGTCCTGACTTAGCAGCGTGTTCTGATGGAGCTTGTTGAGCTTGTCCATCGCTTGCAGGTCGGGGGGCTCCACTTGGAATCGCTTGTGCCAGGTGTCAGTCAACCCCTGCCAAGTGAGCTTGGTGTGCAGTTCCGACACTGCTACGCCGTGGCTGGTCAAGATGTTGTCCAGCCATGCTTGACATGCACCAACAGATCGGTGGTACAAGCACGGATGTCGATCGTTGTTCGGGACATGGTGCATGTCGAGCCTGAGAGTAAACTGGCGCCACCACGGGATCAGTTCCATCTTGGACTGATCGCAGAAAACTGGAATGTCATCCAGTTTGGGTGGGCGCCGGGAGGATGCGGCGGCGGGCGTTACGGTGGCAGCAGCCTGGACCGGCGTCTCCAACTGCAAGTTCGTTGCTTGCTGCGATGTCCTGAAATCTTGATGTACACGCTTGATATTGCTGACTTCATCCTCCAAAACTTGCACACGGGTGGTAAGGTTGGAAGGCCCTGCGGCTGCTACAGCGGCTGGCTGTTTCTCCAACGCCTGCAGCCGTGCGAGCATCTGGTCCACTGTCTGCTGCAGGTGAAGGATTTCCTCCTGCTRCAGAGCGCAGGTGGCCACGAGGTCGTGGGAGACCTGCGCAAGGSCTGACAGYCCTTTCTCAGTCTCCRGGGCCCCGTCTGCAGATGCCACTTCCACCMAATGTGCGGCCTCATCRYCGATCACRGTCTCCCRCRTGAACAGTCGTTCCCGCTGGCGTGACCGGTGTTCGGCTGCCGCCTGCAGGTCTGCCTCCTCTTGACGAAGTCGGTCCTGTTCCTCCTTCCGTCGCTTGGCCTCCTCTGCTTGCTCAATCTGACTTCGCTCCTTGGCTGCGGCGGCGGCCCTATCGTTGGTGTCTTGGATGAATGCCGCCAGGCGTTCCTCGTAGGCCAGGAGGGATTCTCCCGTCTTCCGGTCCATGGTCTTGGTCTGTGATCGAGTGAGCAGTGGCATGCACTGTCGTGCCCGGGAGAGGGGGAGGAAAAGGTAGGCAGCAGACAAGTGGGAAGGATCGGAAAGATCCCAAATTGAACAGTTTTCCTAATCAAAAAAAATAATAATAATTTTGATTCAAAAAAATAAATCGAAATTCGAAAAAAAGATTGTCCAATCCCACTGAGTGTCGAAGGTGATGCAGAAAGCAAATGTGAACCTTCAGTGCTCGGACTGCAGAGAATCAGAAAAGAAGTATCTTTACAAACTCAGAGTACGAGAAGGTTGCGAAAAGAAAAAAATGCCATTTTTTTATTTTTTTTTTGAAAAAAAAACGGAATTTGCAGACCTACGCAATGAAAGTGTAGAGGGACATTTTCGGAAAAAGAATCGAATTTGTCAAAATGCAGACATTTAACAATTAAACAAGGTAAAAAACAATTCTCAAAAAAAGAATTCTCAGAACGAAAAAAAAATTCTCGGAAACCAAATTTCTCGAAAAAATAAAATTTCGGAAATGAATAATAATTTCTCGAAAAAAAATTATCGGAAAAAGAAACAATTTCTCGAAAAAAAATAATTTCTCGGGAAAAAAAAAAAGCTAATTAATTTTGGGAAATTTCCAAGATTAAAAAAATTGCCAAATAATCAATCAACTAATTAATCAATCAATCAATCAATCAATCAATCAATCAATCAATCAATCAGTCAATCTCAGATGATTGCTGGTTGATTGATCGATTGTTCGWTCAATCTCCTGATTGACTGATCAATCAATCGAAGATTGATTGGTGGCAAACCGCCAATCCAATCAATCAATCGATTGATTGGTTGTTGCCAAGATTCATCACACTAGCTCCGATACCACTTGTAGCATATCAGAAAGTGAAATGCACTGAGAGCCTAGGATCTAGCAATGACGAAAGTGGCAACAA